AAAGGGATGAAGAAGAGAAAGAAAAGGAAAGGGGGAGAAGAGAAGACTATGTAAAATTAGCTGAGGCGAGGGCTGAGGTCCGAGCCCTCAGTCTCCGTCTTCCAAGCCCCCACAACAACAAGCAAGGGACTGGGGGGATAGGTTCTGGTTCCTCACATTGGTTATATTACCCGTACGCTCCCCAGCCTAGTTTCAAAAGCTAGTTAGCAATGGGAAGCTTGATTAGCCTCTATTATAATTTTTATTTCTAGGCTCCTTCATTTAGCAAGAGAGAGGGAATGAATTTTCTAATAATCATGGACCAGAATAAAATATTTGCCTATAATATTCATCATTAGTCTCTTTGCAACATCTATTTTCTGTTATAAGGTCAATGGATGGTGTGTTAGAAATCAGTGCAAACTCTTTCCTTTCTTTCTTTCTTTCTTTCTTTTTTTTTTTTTTTTTTTTTTTTTTGCTGGTACTGTAACTCAGACTCAGGGATATGACAAATTTCTTTTAAAATCATGTAACTCTAGACCATGGCTTATCATTACAGGGTCAGATGATGAGGATGATTACAACTATAGATATGATTATTGTGATGGTTATAATTAAGGTGATAGTGATGATGGTGATAGTGATAGTGATGGTGGTGATAATGATAGTGGTGGTGATAGTGATGATGATCGTGATACTTATGGTGATGGTGATAATGAAGATGGTGACAGTCATGAAGGTGATGATAATGACAATGGCAGTGGACTGATGTGCAGTAGCTTTAATTTCTCTAATGATGCATTATCTCCATGCCAGGCACATTCATGACAGACGAGTTCGGAGGCGTGACATGATCAAGTGCTACAACCAGCAGGAGGTGACGCGGCGCAGAGACCGTCAGACTGGCCTATCGACCATCCGCTACCACATCCAGAGCAGAAAGGAGGTCAGTCTATGTTATTCTCAAAGTTTCTGGAGGGAACTCATGTTGTACGAAAGCAGGCAGGCAGGGTCCCAAACACTTAAAACTGCCCACTGTAGATTCTTGCTTTGGATAAAGGACGAATATTGTTTTATGCCCCCCCCCCTTCCTTTTTTTTTTATTTATTCATTTATTTATTTATTTTTAATAATTCCTTCTTGTGTGACTTTGCTGTGAAAAAAATGGATGAATACTGTGAAAAATCACCACTTGAAAAGATACAAGGAAAAGAATGAATGAATGTAATGAAAAAGAAAAGACAAAAGGTAGATTCTTTTAATGACTTATTATTATTAATGATATTATTATTATTTTCTTATAGCCAGTTCTAGTTCACTCAAAAGTAAGGCTAACAAATATTAGTAATGTAGGCTCATGGTTTTTATGTGTTATGTAATGTAAAATTGCCTTATTCGGGCGAGTTTTGTTGAATTCTCGAAAATAATTGGCCCTTTTTAAGAATTCTTTGCTTTAGGCATGGTGATGTTTGCAGCTATTCTGTTAATATCTCTACCATTTTATTTTATGAAGTGTGTTTCAGAAATTACTTCATTTTATACATTTGAGGCCTTAGTAGTGTTTGAGAAAGATATTAGATGTAATGACATGTAAATTGCATTTATATATATATATTTTTTTTTACATGGCGATCAGAAGTGGAGGAAAGGGCTGATATTGTGCTGTTATTTCCTCCTACATCTCTCAGATTTTTTTATGTTCACATGATATACGCCTTTTTTTTTCCAGCAGTTATGTATGTTTGTTTCCGAGGATGATCAAGAAGAAAAATATTACAAAACAGTATTCTACACTGAGTCTTCTGTTTACATTTCAGATGACGATCGAAGGCGCTCCGCTCACCATCCTCAATGTAATCCTGGAGTGCGACCGTAACGTGACCCCTTGGTGTGACTGCACAGAAAACGTAGGCAACACGAAGCCCCTACAACACAAATCAGAAAATCGAGATGATGTGATTGTGCCCAAACTGGACCGGAAAAAGCACATCAGTCACGATGGATAGGGCTGGAGAACTGGGGAAGGGAGGGGAGGGGGGGGGGGATAAGGAAGTATTAGGGCACTCTTGCATACTTGTTTCAGTAGCTTTGATAGTCTTCAACCGTCATCATTGTTTAGGACCACATCCGGGAATCATTAAAGTCAGCATTTCACTTCATTCAGCGCCATATATATGTTAGCCTTCATAGAGTGACATCTGGGGAAGGAGTCAGCCATTTTCCTCGATTTGTAAAGGTTGTTGCAATATAGTAGTGAGTAGATTTATATTATGATGTAAGTGTATTGTACATTTATTTTTATTTGTTACAGATATCCTTATTTAGTTGTTTACGTGGCAGGAATGTGAAAAGATTGTATATGAAAAGATTTTACGATGTAGAAATACTGTACTAAGCCTTGTGCAGAATTTAGAATTGTTTACCTATACACAGGTATGCAGGTAAGCAAAATATGGAAAGGAGAAAAAATCATTTCCAGCAGTCCTGTGCAGAAAAAGCTGAAACGGGAACTTTTGCTCTGTTTTCACTTGGTCTACTGAGATTATTGCACCCAGCAGTTGGCTGCTTGAACTAGTGAGAAAGCCTTTATATTTTGGGTCCATAAATTTGAATGTGAATTTGTAGGCTAAAATGAGTGGAAGGCTACTGTATGCATGCACAAATTCTCTCTATATGAAAAGTAAAGACCACAATATTGATCTTGTTCCACATACCCCTTGATTGATATCCTGCCACTTTCATGTTAATACCAGTTATCATGAGAAGTTCATTGTTCGTGACATTTGCGCTTCTAAGTTACTTTTGTTGATCATGCATAACCGTGATACCAAGTGTTGGCATTTTAACTTTCCAAGGATCAGATTAACCTTCCACACCAGATGAACTTGGCCGTTTTCAGATTTACATTCCAGTCATCAGGGTAACTCTCGAGACATGAGACAGATTATCCTGTTGTCAGATTTGCTGTCCTGTGGTCAGATAAGTATTCAGACATCTCATTACCTTTCCTATTGCCAGATTTAGGTTTACACAGTATGTCATTTTCGTCAAACTAAAACGTGTGGTGTAAAAGTTTCGGATTAACATGCATCAATTCACGTCATTTCCCTCACATTTACACTTGTTTGTGCGGATACATTTTTCTGATGATTGTCTCCCAGAAGTACTGTTGTGATACTGGCAATTTATGTGCACTGATCATACCGAGGGCTCATGCAGTTGAACTATATCATTTCAGTACTAGGGTCATTCTTTCTCACTGTATTCATATTATAGCTACCAGGGATTTTGCTCTTGTACTGATAACACAGTGACATCTACAGATGCATTATCATGTGAATGAAGTATTATGTAAATGAATTATCATCTGGTGGTCAATTTCAGAGGACATAGGCTTGGGTGTTATATGTATTATATACTTGTTTGTGTGTGTGTGCCTGTGCGTGTGTGTAAGAATGAGTACAGTAGCTAGGTTCATTACAGATAATTACACAAACTCCTAGCAGCACAACACGTACCAAACAACAATTACATATAACGCCTTTACAATATGCAGACAAGGACACAGATTAACAACTATGTACAAAATCACGAACAATCAAATTGACATTAATAAGCAAGGTTACTTACACTACGAAAACACATCCATTGCATGAAACGCCCACAACCAGAAATAAGCGACATACCACTCTAGTACAGACTCCCTCATACACACACACTTTCCACGCACCATTCGTGACTGGAATAGGTTCCCTTGACACACAGTACACAGACAGCAGACACCTTCCATAAACTTACACTACATCTCAAGCCTAAAACACCAAGGCTTCACTACCTTTACCCCTTTTCTATCCCCCAACAACCAACTCTTTACATAAGTGTGAGGTGTGCTAACTCTTAGCATCCTACACTTCAACCTATGGAGATTAAGATTTGTCTATCTCCATGTGTTAAACACAAAGCAATTTTATTGAGAAACTGTGAAGGTTAATGGTGAAACAAATAAATGTGCTAGACATCCAAAGTTATATAGCACACTGGGAAAATATTTTGGTGAAAAGGGTAAATGAGTTAAGGCTTAGTATGAGAGTGTTAAATGACAAAGGGAAATGATTGGGAAAAGGGAAAATGGTAAAGAAGGGGTGTAAATGATGTATGTCAGATGTTAATAAAGGAAAGGGTTAAGGGTGAAGGGTGATTGGATGGAATGGGCTGTATCTGTTGTTGGGGAAGCTATAGTAACATTGCTTTAAGGAAAAACTGGTAAAAGAGCCATTATGAAATAATCAATGGGAAATACAGGTAGAGACAGCTGTTGTAGTAGTAGCAGAAGAGTCTAGGGGATGAGATATGGGGACGGGAAGGAGGTGAAGTATCAGGAAGAGCGTCAGGAGGGGAGGAATCTGGAGGATGATACTGTTGCGCCAGAAGGGATTTACGCAAGTATCTAGGTGGGAGAGGCAAGGATAATGGAGAATGAAAAGGGAATGGTGTACATGGAGGAGGAAAGGAGAGGGGTTTGTTGGGAAAGAGTAGGAGGAAGAGGGGTAAAAGAAACTGAACTCAAAATGAAATAAGACACCAAAGTTCTTTCTATGTGGCATGAGGTTACCCTTTTCCCTCTTTTATAAAACAGAAATAGCAAGAGGATTGTTGTTGCATTACATAGCAAATGCAGAATGAAAAGGATACAGGTATTGTTGGATTAAACAAGGGCTTCAAATTTCTAGGGATTCAAAGTCTTCTGTGGGTTTTTGTAGCTATTATTATTTTTCTTTTATGAGAAACCAATTTTGATGTTAGAAAGAGGATTACCTGTTCAGTGATTGTCTTAACTTTGGCCATGGTTAGTGTACATGCGATTTTGAGTGTGTCCTCTTTGAAACGTGTTTGTATAGGCGAGGATGTGTTAGTTGTATTAGTATTGTTCCTGAACCTTGTTTTTATTACATATTTGTAGACATTTTGCTCATTTTTAGCCCGAGAGTTGATACCCACTGATTGATTTTCTTCTGTTTTGGGGGATCAATTATAACCTTTATATTTATGCACCAAGCCAGGGCTTTGAATGTTATAAAGAATGATTCAGCTTTTAAAGGTACTTTATGGGAAGAATAATGTTTTAATAGACACTGATAATCATATTGTCAAGTGGTTATGGTCATACTGTGAAAAAATTTGCTTTCTTATTTCTTCTTTGTTGGTGAATAGGAAGTAGATGATGATTGCACTTACGATACATGAACTATGGCTTCATTTTTAAGAGACAACCAAATACATACACAAATTCAAAGTTTCAATGGCATATTTTCCCCCTTGGCAGTTGACTGTTACTTTTGTTGCTATGTATAACATTACAAGAAGAGGTAATGTATATTTTGGTGTACAAGGCCTAGTGTAGTGTATTGCAAATGATTATTAAGGGGAATGTGAAGAGAATGTTGTTAGTAGTTTTTTTCTTTTTACATACATATAAGGAACACTGATACTTACTTAACTTACTTGTATAGAAAGAAGAAAAAATATTAAATGCACAAAATTACCCATTTAGATGTTAAGTATCATCCACTTTTAGAATATATTTATTGAGAAGAGACTTAAACAGAGGACCCATGTTTGGTATTGCACAAAGAAATGCATTTAATTATATTACATATATGGTATATGTTTAACATGTGAACATTTTCACTGAATTCTGTAACCAGCTTCAACTTTTGAGTGCTATGTCCTAAGCAGCATCATAGCAACAAGGCCTTTCTCTCTACCCAATTCTAGCAGTGCACTAGACCTAAATCACCTATCACCTTAAGCTAACACACTGGCATGGAAAACTTGTTGATCGTGGGAGATTTCTAATTATTTTTTACATGTCCTGTCGTATCTCCCGAGGATTTAGGTCCAGACGCTCCCAATATTCACTGAGGCTGCATTCTCATTAACTTGTATTCAGAGAGCTAGAAAAAGAGTTTCTCACCATTATAGTAGTCTTTAAGCCTTTCATTAAAGAAATCAGTGTATATTAAATATTTTCAGGCACGCATAGCTGAATATATAGGTTTTAAGTCAATTTGATAGCAATTTCTTTTTGTTATTCTGAAGTTCAGGAATATTGATGAATGATAAATATTTCAAAAGGACACTTTAGGATGTAAAGAAAGCACTGTTTGATGTGAAGTAGGAAGATGGAGGGAATTTTTACAATAGTGTAACAGAGCAGTGTATAAAAAAGGAAATAACTGTATACAACACACAGTCTCAGCATGAACACGTAATAAGTTAGTGTTCCCTTCTCGGAAAAGTATCTAAGTAAAGAAAGATTCAGACCAACTATTTTACGTGGTTTCAGAAGTATAATAAAAATTTATCATCCTTCATTCTGTGTGCTGTATATGATTATTTCTCTCAATTAGAATATGGAAATAATTTGAAATTAACTGTTTGTCATTATTGCTTGTTTTTTTTTTTTCTTTTCTTTTTTGCTTGATAATAATGGATAGTGAACCAATTAACAGTATTGTTATTAATTACCATAATAATCATAATGTACATATTTATTTAAGTATCATGAATTTTATTGATAATCCCTTACTTTCGCTGTCATTCTACTAATGATAATAGTACAAGGAAGGAGTGCACAGGAATCTCCTTTCATCTCTCACATTAATTAATAGCAGGTTATTCTATATGCAGGTGTTTAGATTAATGCCTAATGATTGTAATTCAGATGAGTAGCAATTGGTAATCACTTTGGGCAAAAATATGTAAGGTATTGTCAGAAAGGTGAGAAAATACTTCAGGCATATGATGGGCTCGCGTGTTTTTATGTTTTTACGGATGTTTGTTTTTTAGGGAAGATAAAATTCCTTCCACGATGAACTGTGTTTTATGATTTATTGGTAATGTGTACTAAAATGTGTTTGTCCGTATGGAAAGAAAACCCTGCAGACAAATGAGGATAAATTTTCGGTTATACAAGGTGTATTTCTGTGTGATTTTCAGGAAAGGGGGAAAATTTTATTTGTATAACTGCAGTTTATGAGACTGAGGAAACTTGGCAGCAAGAGTTCCATACAAACACATGCACATGTACACTCATCCATATGCAGACAGACAGACAGACAGACAGACAGACAGACAGACAGACAGACAGACAGACAGACAGACAGACAGACAGACAGACAGACAGACAGACAGACAGACAGACAGACAGACAGACAGAGACAGACAGACAGACAGACAGACAGACAGACAGTGACAGTGACACACACACACTCACGTGCACACTAATGTACACACAGAGACAGGAAGCATTCAGACCAAGACAAGCATGCACCCAGAGAGAGACACACAGTTATCATTCAACCATTGACCTGGCTAATAACTCAGGATTTTTGTTTTGAAATCAACTCTTGGCTGTCTGTCATTATTGTGATTATTGTTGTTATTTTTGTTTTAAAGTGTTTGAAGAAAAGGTGCTTCTAAACTAAATATGTTTCCTGAATGAACTTGCCAAAGGAATAATATGAGTTTCTCTAACCATGCAAGTATATCTATATATATATCTATACATAACTATCAATCAGAATATATCTACAATGTATAGTAGATATATCTATCTTTATCTGTAGACATGCAATCACATGCATACACATCAATATCAATTTATATCTGCAATTTTTAATACTTACATATATCTATATCCATCTATCTTCTATCTATATATACATATCATATCACATATATAATATCAATCTATCCTTCTTTGCAGTATATACTATACAACTAGCCTTTTGCTGTTGCGTCTTATTGGTCGTGTGCCTGCATGCCACTGGGATAAGAGGAGCTTCCCACACAATATTTGTGTTGTTACCAGCCCTCACTTACAATGCAAATTATATATGAAAATGTCAGAGCAAATTCATCTAAGAAACCAAGATATTTGGCACAAGCTTGAGAGAGCCTCAATATTTTAATAATCTCCCTCGGATATCTTTTTGTACCCATCACCCCCCAATCCCATGCTCGTTGTTAACGTGAGGAGTTGGCATAGGAGATGGGGACTGGACCAAATGTTGGGGATAATCCTTATCATGGGGCTCAGCCCTCGACTTAACCAATTTTGTATGGTCTTTTCCTCTCCCCCTTTCCTTTATCTTTTCTTTAATCCCTTCTGTCATCTTCCTTAGCTTGCTAAAATGATGAAAGGCAGGCTTTGTGTCAGACTTGAATGGCCTAGCTCTTGCTCCCACCAGACCCCACCCCCCCATTGTCCGTATGCACCATCTCCATTTCTTTCCCCATTGCCCTCAACGCTCCCACCTGGATGCTCACGTGACTTCTGTTGCAACATTATCAGTCTCCTGAACCTTCCCCTTGTGAGATTTATGATACTTCACCACCTTCCCCAATTCCCATATCTTATTCCCGTTTTTCCTCCTACTTTTCCCCAACCCATTTCTATCCTTATTACCCAGTGACTTCTTCATAATGTTTCTTTTGCAGTGTTCTCCATGTTCTCCCAGGACACAGATGCACTTCATTTGTTCTAATTGTCCTACGCCCTTAACCCTTCCCCTATTTACTAATCTCGCCTGCTGGATTCCCTCCACCTCTTTATACTATTTAATATCATAATATCCTATAGCGCTCTACAACCTTTAATCTATAACTTACTTTTACCCCTTTCGCAAATCTATAGCTTTTACCATTTTCGCTAACTTATTACTTACTTTTACCCCTTTGGCTTATTACTTACTTTTACGCTTTTCGCCATAGTACGGGGGGCTTGGCTCGTGGATTTATTGAGGAAGGTAGATTGGTGATCCCCTAGAGATCCCCATCTCCCCAGAAGGCAAGGGAGTAATAGTGGAGAGCTTAGACCTTGTCTGTCTGCCGTCTCTCTCTCTCTCCGTCTGTGTAACGAGATGTCACCTTTTTATGCGGCGGTTCCCTAAGAGGCAGGTGCTTGCTTCCGTCCGCCAGTGTCCGAAGTGAAAGCAGTGCGGACACCTTCAGGGAGGTAGCAGCTGGGGATATAAGTATGAATCAATTGTTTAACATTGATTACATCGCTCGGCCACCCAACGCATAAGGCTTTTTCCCATGCGCCGTCTGCAATACCTGAAACTGCAATTGTTGCGACAGGAGAGAGGTTCTGCTAGGCATCTCCTGGTGATTCTTGGCGATCCGATGGAAACTAAGGTCGCCGTGAGGTAGAGTAGAGGTGTGACGGAGGTAGAGGAGAGATGCAACATTCAAATGCCAAGAGGGCAGCATCGTCTTCAAAGGCTGAAATATAAGTGTACCAGGTGAGTAATATGATTTGTTAATCATATTCCGATGTCACAAAATATGAGAGCATAATAACATCACAAGAAGTGTAAAACATCACATAAAGGGGCGATAATCATTTATGATCTATTAGGATTAGGGAGTTATATGTCAGGCTACATAAAGTATGGCTTCTGAAGTGCATCGTCATTATCTGCAATAAAATGGACTTCATCAGTGTTACATATTACTCATACTTGACCGAAACGGGAGGCATTTTCGCTTTCGCTGACTACCGTGAGTCGGACTTCAAAATAAATAAGGTGTGTTATTATGTAAGCCTATTTGAAGCGCGGGTCAACTTTTTTTGACAGTGTCATTTGTAGCGGCGTCGACACACATTTACAATAAATAAATACAATCATTTTATTTTTCATTTTATCTTTCTCCTGGTACCTCGCTTCCTTGTTGTATTTCTTGGCTATTGACCAACGACATATGGCCATGTTAACACGGCCAGACGAGATCATTAAGCCAATGGATCGTGTTTATTATTTCAGTCTAGAAAAGGTCATGAAGTTTTGTCTCCCTTAAAAAAGTGATTACTTTATGGACTGTTGTTTCATCAAGCCTCTTAATTAAAAGGATTATCCAGTGTTACTAGTTGATCAAGAGGTTGGTGTCCCTTTTGAAAGTCGCACTGCTCGTCAACTAGTAAATTATTGGATTTAAAGAAATGCAGGAGATGACTGTTTACAATTCGCTCCATAAACAACTTGCCAACGCAATATGGGAATGAAGTGGGCGAAGATCCAAGAGTCTGGACAGGTCTGGCTTTTCCTAATTTTATTGTACACTTCTAGCAATTTAATCATGGCTCCATGATTAAAATGCTTTATCATCTCACAGCGAATCTCCTCATCGGGGCCGAGGGAACGTTCCTCTACAGGCTTCTACGGCTCGGACAAGCTCATCCATTGTTAGGTCTTTATTGTAATCCATGTCATCTGTGGCAAAGTGTATTGGTTACAGCTGAGCCGCTTCCTTGGTGCTCAGGAATGCGGGAGGGTAATTGTCTGAGCTGCTTGTATATGAGAGATGCCTGCCGAGTACATTGGCTGTCTCTAGGTAAAGCAAGTTTGTTTCCCCCATGGATGACGTTCAAAGTTCAAGGACTTTGACAGTTCGCGAAAACTACGTTTTATGGAGTTTGTAAGTGCCTTGTCCGAGGTGTCTAGGTAAAGCAAGTTTGTTTCCCCCATGGATGACGTTCAAAGTGATCAGATTGTGATCTGGTATCCTCCTCCTTGCCATGCTGCTGTCGATAGACTGATTGAGCAAATTGTTTAATTGCATTATCTGATTTGATTCATAATTCCTTACCCGTTTCCCTTAATCGTGCGATTTCTTTATCTTTAGTCCCGATTGTACCAATTATTCTATGAATTTGCATTCAGTTATTTGTTCTGATGAAAAGATATATATTGACGATGTCAGATGTTGCAGCATTCGCCAAATTAAACACCAGAGCAACGTTTAGAACAAATATGGTATATTGGTGATGTTAATGTCGTGATACTGAAACTTCTTTGGAGTGAATATTATGAAGTGTATATTTCTATTTATCTGTTAACCTTTCAAATTTATTTATCTTTATACTAATACTAATACATCAATCGATGAAAATACATTTAAAGGAATAAAATGACATCACCTATACAATATGACTATAATCGTTTTCTGTGATTGCGGTTCTGATATCACAGAAAACGAATTCATGGAGGACTTGTATATACCTGCTACCACAGAATTTTCTATTTACATTGCATAGTGACATCCTGATTACCTATTTTTTTTTTTAAATCGGGGTACCGAAAAGTACCAGATTAGCACAAAAAATACTAAACCCCGTAAACCTCAAATTGCTTCATTCAGTGTTTATATCGACCCGCAGTATAGGGCTGAAAGGCCCTATACTGCGGGTCGATACAAACATACTGGGGCATAATAATGGCTATACAACACTTAATCAAAAACATGACCGAGTGCAAAAAAATTCACTGATGAACACTAGACCTGCTTTACTAACACTTCAATTAGTACGCAATACTTCGCAAGACAAACAGCTGTGTGGAATTCATGACGAAGAGATCGCAACAGGAACAACGAAGGGAAGAACAAGAAAACACACGAATATGCCAATATTTATATTCGTGTATTTTCTTGTTCTTCCCTTCGTTGGTCCTCATAGGAAGACAAGAGATTTCAATGCGTGGCTACAATGCATCTTCCTCGTTCCTTCCCACATATCCGTCCTTTGTGTGTTTCTTTATCACATATGTGTGTCCTAGGCTATTCGAGTCTGTTGCAATGCTGCCATTTTGGTAGGAAATTATCTCCTTGTGTAACGCAAGAAGAAAGAAGAAAGTGGTACAGCCAGCAACAAAAGCGGTGACGCCTCACCAGTCCTGGGCTCGGTGAGATCATGCCCTTCTTGCCCTGAAAGGAGGCCCGCGTTCAAACAACTAGGGCATAGTTAGGATAGTTCGAATGTGAGGTGGGGGGAAAGTACGGAAATCAGGCGAAGTACAAACAAAAAAGACTGAAATAGAGAGAGAGAGAGAGAGAGAGAGAGAGAGAGAGAGAGAGAGAGAGAGAGAGAGAGAGAGAGAGAGAGAGAGAGAGAGAGAGAGAGAGAGAGAGAGAGAGAGAGAGAGAGAGAGAGAGAGAGAGAGAGAGAGAGAGAGAGAGAGAGAGAGAGAGAGATCGCTTTTATTCCTGTTTAGTTGTTAATTTGGTGGATATATTGGAAACCTGCCCTAAGAAGTAAATTATCGTTTATCATTTCGAAAATTATTATCAAGAAATCCTATCACATCGTTTTATTTCAATTCCTTATATCCTTCATTCATATATGAGGGATGTATATTATCCTAAACAGCTACTCTCTGACTTCTCAGTCTTATATCACCTGGATCCACTATTTGGTTAATGGTAGTTAGAGTATCGAAATAACCACATTTTGGTTAGGTTTTATTAAACTTCTTATTTTCTCATCCATGTACGAACTGATAGAGCCCAAGAGAAAAGAAAATGGTTGATACCTATTCGTTGTTGGCAGGAAAGTCCCATATTTTTTTCTTTAAGATTTGTTTTTATGTGGAATAATTATTTACTATCCGAACATACTCGAATCCACGAATGGTAATACCTGATCTTATTAATGTCAATTTCTCTTTCCATGCCTCCAT